CCATACCGATTTTGCAAACCAGCAGACTGTACATGCCGATAAACGCAAAAAAAAAACTTTCTCCTTTATTTGTTACTTTAAAATGTTCCGGGATTTCAAGATCTTCTACATTGCTTGGGGTCGGTAATTGAGGATTTGCGCGTGTCCTCGTCCGTTGTACCGTTCGATGCAGGGACGAAACACTCGGTAATTCAGCAGCAGCCGCTTCGGTTATGTTTGAAATTCCAGCGGACACAATCGCACCTGTGCTCTCTGAGGACTTTTTAGCTCGTTTTTTAATTTTTGCTATAGCCAGTCGCGACTCAACAAATCCAGCATTTGGACTATGATTGTGATCGGTCATTTTCAGAACTGTTCCTGAAAATAAAACCATTACACACGAAACAGTAACGAGAAGCGAATCCACCTACCACTCTGTGTCATCGAAGATGTGTATACTTGACTGCGACAACTCTCCTTATACTTAATGCATCGCCAGACAACAACATCAGTATTTTCGCGATGCACACCATAAATAAAACCATGAAGCACTAATTGTCGCTTCCCCTTCTGACTACTGACAAATTTCAAAGGCATCGCACACCTAACCGCACACTTCTAACAGATATAACTGACTGACAACCGTTTCGATAGTAACATCCAGACATATATTTACCAGTATACGTTCCTTATTACTGTTTATAACCGAATGACGGGATAGGGATATCGAGGCGTTCGGCGCTCTACCTAAGATACGGCGCGCACAATAGTTGTTGTGCACATGTTCAATTTTGAATATATTCCTGCATTTTTGGGATATTTTGATGTGAGATATTTTGCCAGGGGATATTTTATCATGGGATATTTTGCCAGGGGATATTTTGCCATGAGATATATTGTCGCGGGATGTTCTGTCGCTGGGATAATAAGACCGGGATATTTTGTCGCGCGATGTTATGTCCGGGATATTTAGACGTGACACCATTTTTTAGGGATTGTTTCAACCCCTAAACGTCGAGATACGCCGCAAAAAAAAATACGAGTTTAATATTTTTTGATGCTCAACAACATATCCAAAGCGTATCCAAATCGGGTAAGGACACTTCCGACCGTTCCCTTGTAAGTTACCAAGAATCACACAATTTTCAATAGATTTAATGCTATATTCATCTCTCATCTGTGGCACTTGTAATAGCGCCCACATTGCACCGTCGGTGATACGCTCCTAAAACGGACCATATCTCGAAAACTAAAAGTCTGCCCATTTTGAGCCTGAAATCATTTTAAAGGGGAAAAATTCTACTTTTTTGAGATTTTTTAGAAGAAAATCGAAAGTGTCCAAATCTGAGAAAAAACGATTTTTTATCTTTACCTTCAAAAATCTTAAGTAAATTTTTACTTAAAAAAAAATTGATTTTATAGCATTAAAGGGCATAAAAAAACCTTTCAAAATTACACCTTGTTTTTTAAAATCGGAGTAGTTTAATGGCATTTATAGGCGTTTGAAGTTTGACGCGACGGCCCAAATGATAAAAATCCAAACCCCTGTAAGTAGACAACCCGTTGGACAGGGGTAAAAAAATTTGGGCAATGATTTTAGTTCTAATAGGACTACAATTTGTGCAAATTTCAGCATGATCGGGAAACTTTGAAAATTTGGGGTGCATCATTTTATAAATAATGCCTTTTATATACAGGGTGAAGAAAAGTATGAAAATCCTGAAAAATTTTGAAGTAAAACCTTCCATATTGTAGTATATTGTTTGAAAGGCCATGAAACGAGAAAAATTTTGGCGCAAACCAGAAATCGATATGTTGACTCGTTCAGGAATTATTTAGGGTCAAACTTCGAAAAAGCCAACTTTTGACCGTAAACCCCCGAATAATAATATTAATTTTTAGATTGTATTATTAAGATTATATCAAGGTTACATTAATTTTTTAAATTAAAATTCCTATTTGTTATTGTATATTCTTACAACCCTTGTTGAGAAGTTCTCAAAGCACTATAATAAAGCTTTCTTTTGTTAAGAATTTCCTGAAATATTTTAAAATCATGATATTTTTAATATAAAATATGAAATGTCTCGTAAAATATTCATTTTTCGATGACTTTATCTTGATACTTTTATACGTGGAATAATTAAAGAAATTAATTGTTGTAAAAAAACTGAGAAAATTATTGTAAAAAGTTTGCAATGTTTTTGTAGAAGTATTTAATTTTCACAAAGTTGTAAATATAAAAATTAATATTATTATTCGATTATATCGACCTCTGGTTTGCGCCAATGCCCTTTCAAATAATATACTACAATTGAAAGGGTCCCATATAAAAAATTCGAGGTGACCTTGTCTTAGTGCTGACCTTGGTGACGCCATCAAAACCCAAACTAATAAGATCAGTAAATAAGTTTATTAAACCCCACAACTTTTATCCCAAAACAATTTTCTGTAAAACTTATATTTTTCAAAAATTTTCAGGGTTTTCATACTTTTTTCTTATCTAATATGTTGTGTGCGTATAGCCACGCATTCACCCAAAAAAATTACTCTCTCAAGTCGGACACTTATCCGAGTCACAGTATAGGTAAGAACAATAGGTACACTTTATGTCAATGCCTTTGATCTTTGTGGCAAACCACATTGTTGATTTTGCGAATCAAGCTGCATGCACAATGAAAAACACAGGCAACAGGAACAGGAAATATTATTCCCTGTTCCTGTTGCATGTGTTTTTTCATTGTGCATCC